GATTAACTCCTAAATTTGAACTTGTTGCAGCTCATAGACGTCGGCTTCTTTGTCTGCCTTGATTCATTTCTTTCATTGTTAACCGTTATGCCAACACGGATTTTGATAACTCTTTGGAGGCTTTTTATTACAAGGTTAGTTATCAGCTTCAACATCCTTTTCTTGATGAAGTTGATATGAAACTGCAGATTATGCATGTGCCTTTGAAGTGCCAAGTCATTCAGGAATCTAGCCTTTAAGTGCAACTATGTACTAGTAGATATTCTCAAATTTATCTTATGATATTTGTGCATCATGTTCCTGAACAAGATACTTTGATTAGTTTGCTGCCTCTGTAATTTATTTTAACATAATTTTAACATAAGGTAATTAATGATATTTAAAAATTGACAGTCACTTTCATGACAGGAAGTTCGAAAGACCTTCTTCAGCAGAGTTGTCTGATTTAGGCTGTTTTTTAATAATGGCATGCGGAGTTTCTCTCTTAGAATTGACAGGTATGGGATATGTCTTCAGATTCCAGTTGTCTTAGACTTGTGGATTGAGTACCTGAGGAAATGTAAGCGTAGACTCGGTGCACAAACTTTTAATATATGCCATTTTAAGAAAAATAATTAGTATGTTAGTGATTGGGAAACAAAACATGGAACAAGTTCAGACGTACAGAGTAGATTCAATTGATTTAAATATGCTTTTAGATTTGAATATGTTTAATGCGCATCAGTGCTTTCAAATGTTATAAAATTGTGTTGTGTTTATAAAGTTATACTACATGTATGTATGCGAATCCCAACTTTTAGTTTATTTCAATTTTGAATATCAAAAAAAATATATATTTGGTCCTTCTCGAAATATGGCTGTAATTTTTTGTTGCCAACACTCTAAGCAGAAGCCTTGTGCTTCAGTGTGAAGCCTCTTTCAACTTCATCCTTACCTCTTTGTTTCTGCTGAGACCAAGTGACAGAGAATTTCCTCTGAAACTTCTTACCTTTTTTGTATGTTGCTGTGTAGAAATTTTTAGTTTTTTCTTTCCCATCTAAGGTGTTTAAGTGCGCATTGTCTGTTTTTTCTTAAAACTATTTTTGCATCAGCCTTCAATGACAATCACTTCAATTTTCATTTTTGGCCTGTGATGGTTGTGTCCCACATGGTTTTCTTTGCAAGAAATTGAGTATAATTCTGTTCCGCAATTTTGAAGAAGTCTTATCTGTACCCAATATAATTTATACATTTTTAAGTTGCTAATTTTTATTTTATATTGTAAAACCTTTTCAGATATCAGCTTAATTTATCACATGATCCGTGGTCAAGGAACAATTAAACTATATGTCGTTTACAATGTATTGGAGGTTAGTTGAGAATCAGGTGTAGAATAATCATACTTTTAATCTAGTGCTTTATCAATTTGATAGATTTTCAAATGCATTGATCTTTAATTTATGGAATTGTTTTCATTATGTTCTTCTCGATATTTGGAGACAAATCCAAATTTTTGAGGGAAACAAATATATTTCTCCATAGACAAAGAACAGTCTGAGGGACGGGGGTAGAGAGTTTAAGTTTAATGTTTTTGCAAAAAGGTTTAATTATTTTGTAATTTAATCTATATTTGTCGAACTTTTTGTTATTTTGCATCTCTAGGAGAATTTCTTGTAGTATTGTGTTCCTGTTCATTATTGATTAATGTAAAGGTTTTATTGTTTCAGAATAATAATATTTGAAATCCTTGTTCCCTGTTTCAGATATTTGATAAACTATTTCAAAGTTTTGGTGGAGACGTGCTGCAAACTTTGTTTAATTCTGCAGAGGGACTAGCAAATTGTCCATCTGAAAACGTGGGCTTCTGGATTGGAAGATTCATTTCTGATCAAATTTTGGCTGTGGCTGCCTCAAATATCCTTCTCTTTGAATTCTATAATCTTTCTCATTTAGTTATAGATATTGTGATTCTCCTTTGGCTCCTTGACTATCCATACTTATTCATTCTTTTATCCTATTAGCTCAGGCAATTACCCTATCAACCTGCATTGTGGCACATAACAACGCCTTGCTCGCTTTGCTGGTGTCTAATAACTTTGCAGAGATTAAAAGCAATGTGTTTAAGCGTTACAGCAAAGACAATATCCACAGCTTGGTTTATTTTGGTATGTCAGCTTCTTTTGTTGCATAATCACAATTAGGAGTCTTAAAGTAAATGAAAAGCTTCGACAAAATCGTACCAAATAAGAGTTCCATAAGTAATAGAAATAGAATAGAAGCATAACATTTGCATCCTAAACTGCACTATTGAAGATTCCTGTTATTGATTGTGATGGATTCAATTGAAATAAGCTCCTGTTATTGATTGTGATGGATTCAATTGAAATAAGCTCCTGTATTTGATTTTGATAGATTCAATTGAAAGATTCCACATTTTGGCATTTCTCTTGTTTGTTTTGGCTCAAAACATTTTGGAGGCGGAGGGTCCCTGGTTCTGGAATTTTCTCTATGTAAGTTCTCTCATGACCATCTTTACTTGTAACATTTCTTTACAAAATTGATCTGTATAATTACTTTTCCAGTTATTTTTGTTTGGTGGCTGCAGAACGCCCTAATGGTTTTCATCTGTGAAATGCTCATTGATATCATAAAACACTCATTCTTAGCTAAATTCAACGGCATAAAGCCTATTGCATACGCAGAGTTTCTTGAAGACCTTTGCAAACAGGTTACTTTCTCATTTTTTTTTACCTTTATTCGTTAATACATCCGCCAATTTGATCTCATACATGCATAATCTAACCTTTTTTTTTTTTAATTGTTGTTACATCCATTCTTAGGCTCTAAATATGCAAAGTGAAGATGCAAAGAAAAATTTGACATTTATTCCGGTTGCGCCAGCATGTGTGGTATGGATGCTTGTTCTATAATTTAGATATCTTTCTTTGAATGGAAAAATGACTTAATTCATGATTGAAAAGTTGCAATAGTAAAAGAATTTTTTTTACTATAAAAATATAGCGTAAGAAACCCCCAAGTATGAGCTCATCCGGCCCGCCCCTGACCTGCTGGGTTGGGTGGCCGGGTTAGCACCCCTCGTCGCCTCTGTACCCGAAACAGATGCGCTGCGCTAACCAGTGTGTAATCTTCTTTCCCCTACCCCTCTTCTGGTTATGCCATTACCAATCACGGGTAACCTTCGGGCTGGCTGTCTCTGACCTAATTAGAACCATTATCCTTATGACCAAACAAGGTCCAGCTTACTTCTCGAGCGAGAGTTCCATGATCCCGACCAGAAACTTGATAAATCTTGATAGCTTATGTAGGACATGTGCTTCTTGGATTGTCTTGCCTCGTGATATGATCATTAAGTCTTTAGGTTTAAAACATGAGTTTAAATTTCTTTATGCATCAAGTATTGCTATCATGTATGAACCAAAGATTCAGGAAGATTTATCCAATTCCACTTGAATAGCCTGAAATGGACCTATACTTGTGGAGTATGATATATTTGGAAGTTCAGTAAAAAAATTTGGATGCATGAAGTGTTGCGCATTCGATATAGGTCATTCGCGTGCTGACACCGGTATATGCTGCCCTTTTTCCTTACAATCCTCTCCCATGGAGGTTTCTTTCGGTTCCGCTCCTCTTCGGTGTGACCTATGTGATGCTCATAAGCCTCAAGCTTTTGGTTGACGTAAGTCTGCAGAAGTATGCAACTTGGTATATCGACCGATGCCGAAAGAGGAAGCACCATCTGCATGCCGACTAATATGAAGGATTTATATTAAACTTGCACATATTATGATCGAGTGACATTGCTACTTCAAGTGGTCGCCATGACATGCACAATGTGTAGAGGACAACTCACCTTGCTCATGCTATGCGTCGAAGCAGCAACCTTGAAAGCGTTTTTGCCACAGGTTTTTTTTGCAGTATTGTTATATTTTTTGGTTTCAAAATTAAAATTGTGAATATAAAGGGAAAAAGAAAAATGAACTTTTGCATCGATTGCAATTTACTACCATCTTATAGGAAAAGGTTGTGGCTTATGGAGTTGGCAATCGCAATCTAATATTGTCCACACAAGAAATTGTATCACTGAATAAAAATAATAATATTAGAAAATATTTTGCAATATATTTCCCAATAAGTATTTTTTAGGAGAAATTCTATCATTTTTTAAATTTTGATGATCGAATGTTTTATATCGATGTATTTGAGTTGCATGAACTTTTGCTTGAAGTTCAAAATTTTAGAGAAGTCATATCCCCTACCAATAATTATATACTGTAAGCTGTTGTTACTTTTTTGTTTGCATATATAACGTCTCTTTCAAAATCTCTCTCTACCCTCGTTTTTTAAAACCTTCTTCTTAAACCGAGGTCGAAGACTCGAGCATACGTCGCTTGGCCGTAGGCAACATAAGAACGAATTGACTTATCTCACTTGTCGTTGGAAAGTGAGTGTCGCATAATCGCAAGCAAATATTGTAATGACAAGTGAGTCTTTAAATTTTCAACTTTATAAAATTGTGGTGATGCTATAAGATAGATTATTTTTCTTTTGAGAATAAACGATGATGTAAGATTAAAATGAATTAAATATTAGAGAACTACATCCACTTAGACATGGCTAAAGGCTAAATTACGTAGACTTATCTATTGTAATGACTCAAGTCTATTGCTCTTCCAATCTCGCCACTAGCAAATATTGTCTCTTTTTCTCTTGAAGCAAAATTTCCTCCGATAAGTTTTCAGCTCTACGTTTTTAATTGCTAGAATGTTCTTCGACGAACTTCGTCATCGACTCCTTTACGGAAGTTTTTATATATTTTTTATTTTTATTTTTTCATCAATTTTTAGCTATACGCCAATTTCCCTATTACTCACCACATTTTTGACTAAACTTTCTGGCCCAAATTCAAAGGTCCAACAACTATTTGGGCCAAATTGCGAGATCGAAGCCCATTTAGAGTCCGCCAGTAAATGATGGGCCTTGCAATAAACCCCAATTCGACTGCTAGGGTTTTTGCGGCTCCACCGTTTTACTGCTTTGCCTCTATAAATTTCCCTGAAATTGCCGCTTGTATTCAATCAAAGCGAAAGAAAAATCAGATCTGAAGCTTCTGCTACTGTGGTACCGTCATCCACCTCCATGTTTATAGTCCGTTGTACAATTTGATTGGTAGATGTTTTAGGTTCATCTTTTCGTTTATTTGAATCCAAGAATTTGGTTTCTGTGATCATTGATTTCTCATTGTTCTTCAGTTTTCTGCTCAAATTTGGGGTTTCGAATTTGTATTTTTCGAATATTATTCGTTTTTTTTTATGGTTTTGTTTGTCGCAAACGGTTGTTAGGTCGCCTCTAAGGATGATCATAAAAATTAACTTTCGTTCTTCCGAGATTCTCCATGCGGAAACGATTTGGAGACCTGAACTGAAGAGGCTATAACTACAGTGCCTTCTGTTTTTGTTACTTCTTGATTTTGAAAAGTTTTGGTTGCTTTGGTTTTTGATCTTGACTACTAGGTACTAGGGCTATGGTTTTCTCTTTCCATCTCATTTTTAACTTTGACCTTTCAAATTTACCAACTCGTCATGATACAGATTTTCTGTATTAGTTCATCGAATTTTTATGTTCCTAGTAAATTTACGATCTCTTTCTTGTTCTTTAGTTTTTCATGATTGGTGGATATGTTAGATGTTATTGGCCCTAATGATGACCATAATTGAAACTTTCGTTCTCCTGAGGCAATCAATGCTGAAAAACATTGGAGACCTGAACTGAAGGGTTAAGATTAATTTCATCATGTACACTCTTGAAGAATGTTTTTGTCTCTATTTTTTATTATCTTCTTGGGCATCTTCTTTACAACGCTAGCCACTCACAATTTCAATAGAATTTGAGTCCAGCATTTCCAAAACCATAATAGGTTTTCACTTTTCAGGCGTCATATTTTGAAGGAAATTTTGGGAATAAAGAAATTGATTCGAACACTTGTTTGGCTTGATACATGACTTCCCTCTTATGCCCGTTGTAATTTGATAATAGAAAGTCTTGGACCCGTTAGTGATACACACGGGTCACATCCATTGTCGATGTTGAGATACGTTTGGACATTGGAAGGATGTATGGAATTGATTCGAATAAGTTATTTCATTCATAGCAAAGAATAATCAACTAATGAAACATCAAAAGATTGGCCCAAAATGTGCTTATCTCAATGCCTTTGTTGGGGCATTGAGATGTTTGAAGGTTTGATCAAGCTTTTTGGACAATGTCAGGGCTTTTGACCTGTAGTGGAATATGATCTTGGGTTATGTCCGAGAGATGTGGGCAATGGATTTTCTTAGCATCAATCCTTCGACTCCTAGGAGGGGGGCGTTAGGTGATGTGACTTTGTATTTAGGTTCCCTCCTAACGTAGAGTTTTTCTACTCAGTTATAGTTGGATAGTCTGATTCTTTTATCATTCTCCTGGTTCTTTCTTAACTCCTTGATCTGTAAATTGGTTGCTGGTTGGTCTAATTGGGTCTTTGTTGATCTGTAAATTGGTTGCTGGTTGATCTAATTGGGTCTTTCTTGAACTTGTTGATCTGTAAATTGGTTGCTGGTTGATCTAATTGGATCCAAGACTGCTATTGCGCAGCTGGGGAGGACAGAAGGATCAATGAAGTCACAACAGTTTTATCTTCGACAGGACTTGCCCCTTGTCTTGAATTTGTACGTTGCCTTCTCAAAGACTCCTCGCCAGATCAGTGAGTGGTCATAATGATGATTTTTTGTGTAGATGCTATGTAACACCTAAAGGATTTGGCAGACTAGAGATGAAATTTTGATATGTAATGAAAGGTGGTTTCCAATACGATCATCAATTATTGTTTTGTCATAATAGTGATATATATAAATCCAGTAGTAGATATCTTGAAAATAACTGGTAAGGTCATCTCTTATAATCTAATTGCCCAGTATTGCAATCCAAATGTTGTCTCATGTAATACATTTTATGGTTGGTTGCACAAGTAACAAGGCCAGTATAACGAGCCTGCTATTTCATGAGATTCCTAACTTTGAGAACCTAAACATGGCTTACTCCCCACTTGAACTAGCTCCCTAATTGTGGGTATCTGATGATGACCAACCAAATTGTCTCAAATTTGTATCTACTGAACCTTCATCATGGACCATATTTCTTAGTTTAAAACATCTTCAAGGTGTTTTTTTTTAATCTGTAACACAACTTCATTTCTTTTTTAAAGGAAAAGGAATAAACAAATTGAAAGTCCCCTTCATGTTCGAAACGTGGTGTTTCAGATCTTTGTTGTTCTTTCTCCCTTTGGAGAAAGCAGGGAAAAGGGAGAAACAACAGGAAGATAAAGAAGAAAAAATGCCTCCTGTTGAGTTGAATCATTCCACATTTGTCAATTTGTTATGTTATGTTTCCTCTCCTTTCATCTGTTTCAGATCTTTCTACCCAAAGAGTGGTGTAACTTCTCTGTTTCCACCCATAATTGTCGTCAATGAAGGTCCCTCTATCCTCTTGAGGCATTATTTTTCTCTAACCGGTTGAACCAATTGAGAAGCATATCTGCCCATTTAGGCCAATGTTCATCTAGAAAGGTTCATTTAACTTATATAGGACCTTGGGCAAGAAATCCTCATTTATATCTACTACATTTAGGTCCGTGTTCATCTAGAAATGTTCATTTAACTTGTATGACCATGGGCAAGAAATCCTCGTTTAAACATGAAATGAAAACATAAAATGAGAAGAAAATAGAGAGATTTCTTTTAGATAACTAAATGAGTTCAATTACTGAGATTATATTCTTCATGTTCCTACATGAGGATTGAAATATGAAGTAGGGGCGAGGATTGAGAAGGCTTCCCTATCCCTATCCACCTGTGGGCATCTCTATGTTCCCCACTTGGTATATTCCTACTCCCTCGTACTAAGCTAATGAAGAGATGGGCCTTCAGATTGATGAGTTACCAAAAGTTCAGAAACTTATATTTCATCGCATTCAGATACTACTAAAAATTCCAACTTCACTAGCATCTTCTTTTGAATATTTAACCCATAACTTGAAGAAAACCATGAAAGATACTACTGGAGAGGCCAAAATGAAGCACAGTTACATATGGTGATCTAACTAATGCCATAACTTGAAGAAGACCTTAAGCTAATACCATATAAACAATGTTCCATAGATACCAAACAAAATGAGAAGCTCAGTTTGCTGTACATGATTATCATATGGAAGCATAAAATATGTTGAATAAACAGAGACTTCAACGTAGATAGATACAAAATCCCAAAAATATAACATACATTACAAAAAATGGTAGAATAAATATTCATGTAAGATATCAAATGCCAATTATAGTAATAAAGAATGCCTAAGAATGCATACAAAAAAGCATCGTTTCCTTTGATTGCGATAGTGTTAAATGGATTTTACAACAGAACCGAAACATCAGCATTCTCACAATCCCTGGAGATTATATACTTCATGGTACAAAATGAGTAAAAAACAATACAAGGTTGATTCTCACCTGGATCTCCTTTTATCAAACAGCATCCTGGTTTCTCAAGACTCCTCATTTGAAGATGTGCCAAGTTTCTTTTACACAGCCTACAGATATCATTCCAAGTTACAATTTCCCAAAACGTCAGCATACCTAAATGTCCAAAAACTAATGAATATTACGTCCATGAACATATTAAAACAAAATTCTACGAGAATTAAAATGTGTAATCAGTCTCATGGAATTTTTTGTGCTCCAGACCTTTCTTCGAATCAGCTATTTATATCAAAGGTTAGTTAGACCCTCTTCGTAATTTAGAGTCTTGGCTGCTGTAAGAAGCATATCCATTCCTCCCCTGCCTGTATCCGATTCTTCATCACCTCCATTGATCCGTTTCTTGCCCGACTTTCCAAATGTATCTTTACCTCTCTTACTTCGCTTGTTTTCAAAATTCTCATATGCCATTTTCACCCTGCGAATTGCCTGGATTCCAGCTTCACATTTGCTACAAAACCATTGTCCTTTTGGAATTGCAGCAAGTGGGGGTCGCATACAATAAATGTGGTATCCGTGATCACAACCATCGCATAAAACAATCTTGTCGTCGTCTTGATTTACGAGGCATGCTCTGCAAAGACAAGAAGGGCAATACCAGCATGTATCGTAAGATTTTAACTGGTTTTTAGTCAAGCACCTGGTGTGATAAAATTGATGAGGGCAGAATAGGTGGCTACACATTCTATATTTATCACCGCCTTCTACTCCATTTCCACAAATTTTGCAAGGGCCTAAATCTTGGCTGTCCTTTAGTTGTTCAAATCCATCATCCGTACAATAATTCGGATTGTCATCCCCATGAAAATGATTGTGTTCACTTGTTTCCAGAATTTCACCAACTCCATTGGCTAGCATTGTGGGCGTATTCAACCTCTCACACACTACACAGTTGTCATGACGCAAACTAAATCCACTTCCAGTGCAACTCGCACAGTACCAACTCTTAAGGGGAATCTCTTTGACGGGAGGTTTGATGCAAGATATATGGTAAATTTCCTCGCATGAATCACAAACCAGACAATTAATCCCTTCTGCTTTCTCTCCACAACTTCTGCAGGCACAAACTTTATACGCACCATAACCATCCATATGCTCTGCTTTAGCATGAGAGGGTGATTCCCAAGTAGAGGACTAAATAGACAAGAAATTTGCATGTCAGTAAAAATAACAAATCATTTTAAAATCCAACTCTATACAGATGAATTCAAGAGGAGGCAATTAGTAAATTAGCTTTGATGATGTTACAAACCCTTTAAACAAATGAATGAACTTAAGACCCACAATGTGAGGACAAGGTGCGTTCATAATTGCTACACGTTGATATCCAATCATAATATACATACAATATTTTTTAGTACAACTTGCAAGGTGGGGGGTTGAACCATTGATCTTTAGAACGGTAATTGGTGCCTTAATCATTGAACTATGATAAGACAAATGTAGTTGCTTTTACCTTCATATTTTAAAACTACTGGTAAGAAATACCTCACGAGGATGAAGAAATTTGCATCTTCTAAGTGGGAATTCCAGTTCACCCTCTGATGTTAAGTGATAACATACTGAAGGGTGGGGACAAGACTCTTAGGAGAGACCTTAATATAAAATATAAAAAATAAAAAAGGAGAAATACAAGATGCAAAAATCAGAACCTTTTAACTCTACAGAACCAATAGAGTGGGAGAGAACCATACAAGAGAAAGGAAGCCAACGGGAAAATGCAATATATTATTCCCATAAATATCAATCTGAATATCTGTATCTCAAGCATGACATAGGCGACATGTGAGATATACCATTTTTAAAGAACTAAAACAAATTCAAGTATATAATTTTTTTTTTTATATATATTTTTAAGCTCCCTTTCATGTAGCCTTCCAAAGAATTTTTATATCAAACAAATAACATGCCACTTGGGCCTCCTTTTTGTAGCCCTTTGGTCTCAGGGGGACTCCTCATCTCCCATCTATTGTATCTTCTTACCTACAATATATGGTCTCTGTTTCTTATAGAAAAGAAAAACAAAAAACAAATACCATTATGCCACTATTTTAGGCATTTGGGGATGACTTGTTGCACATCAATAGGATGCTTCCTATAAAAAATAACCTTAATTAACACGGATGGACGTGAAAGAGTCCTATATGCACGAAACACCAAAAAGATGAGGTTGATAATTCAAAAGGTAGACCTATGATGGCAAGATACCAAGACCCATATGAGGTGTTGGTCACATAGTGGAGCAGTTGAAGAAAGTGGTACATGATGTTGTGATTATTGATTATTGAGGATGAACCGAGCCAAGGGTAATTCACTTAGTGTACAAATAGTCTAAAACTTAGCCTACAATTACAAAAGAATTTAATTTGAATAGACAAAGTTCTACAACTAAATGAAAGTTAAATCCAGTCTAGTTAAACAATTCCTGAACAACGTGGTGTCTTAGTGCTTTAATCTTCCTTTTCCCACATATTTGTCTAAAGCAATATGGTTATTAAATTTTTGTACACTTTTTCAATAAAATAATACAAAATGCAGCATAATGCAAGCTCTTTTACCTCGTGTTTTCCATCTTCAAATACATTGCGTCCTGAAACTCCTACCTGCATGGTTGAAAATTGCAAGAAAATCAAAGATAGAAGGGTCAAACACCAGTGGTAACCACAATAGATTGCAAATTAAACCAGATAGCATTTTAAAAGAAAATAGGATAGATATGATTAAAATATATAGTCTATAATTCTTATAGCATCATATCAATTGCTGAAGATACTTGTTTTCACCTTTTCTCGATAGGTAGTTCTGGAAAAATCTGAGAGGCTTTCTGCCAGTGATACCAATTCTGTACCAATGGCTTGAAATTTTCTCCATATCTGAAGAAAATCAAACATAACTGTTATGTAATGGCAAATCAAGACAAAGTAATGGAGTACAGCTGTGGTTGAACGTACAATTCCAACACCAACAAATAGTATCCAAACTTCCCCGAGTTTAGAAATCAGAAAATGGGGAATAGCATATTTGAAGCAACAATCCAAATGATATCTAATGTAGAAACAAAAGTGCAAAAAGGAAACAAACAATTTCATAAAAGCTGAACGATGAAAATATAATGTGAAAAAAGGTGTGTAAAAGAATTCCTGCTGAAATAGAACATAGGGACTGTCAGAAATACAAAGAAAGCAGGCATTAAACATGAAAAATTGGAAAAGAAACACTAAGTTGGTTCTCTTTTCTCCAGAAATAAATATTTAGCTCATTTTCTAAGCACTTGTGATAAATAAAAAGTCTCGCAAGAAATTCAGCAAAAATGTAAAATAAAGGTAAGAATAAAAAGTGAAACAAGATAATCAAATATTGCCTGTTGTACGTCAGAGAGGAAGAGCGTGGGTGAATTTTCATAAGCTCCTTCTTTGATCCTTGAGTTTACAAGACTAAAGTCAAAAACATTATCAGCCTTGATTCCTCTGAAATTTTCAGATAGAAGCTTACACAATGAGATAAACTTCTGAGAATCTATAATACTCAAGAAAGCTCGCCAGCAACTCTCATTGACACTACATCTGTCTGGGTTTTCTAATGATCCATTTGATACAACACCATTCTCTCTATGAGATGCCATCTGAACTGTACTAGACACTGATCCAGTACGTGCAAGGTCATTATTGCTGTTTGCATCTTGAGCATCAAATTTCTGCGCAAATATTGCACGAGGTGAATGAGAGTGATTTAAAAACTGAACCAAAAAAAGAAAAGATTCCAGAATAAGATCTACATGAAAAACATATTTGGAGCTAACCCTAAATCTTGAGGGGTCATTGGCGCCTGAATTAGTAGCAAGGCCATCATGGACACACATCGGTACATTGTCTCCATTGACACTTGATAAGTGGCACATCTGCTTTACCAAAACCGATCTCCAGAGGTCATCAGGGGACTCATCTAAATTGACCATTGGAGGATGGACATGATCACAGGAGTTACTGCCTCTTAGTAAATGCAAAGTTTCTTCAACAGTCTGCAAACAAACGGAAGTAGACTGAGAAGAGAAAAAAACCAATGCACCATATACCAAAGCACTAAACTTTCAAGGATATAGAGAATTTTATTTTTTGGTCCGTTGCATTAGATAAATCTATGTAAATTACATGGTTCTTCGTTTTATTTGTACGATTACAATATTTGTACGAAAACTGTTCCATTTATCTTCAACCAAACTTCCCATAAAATAAGAAAACATCGCAAAAGCATATAACTTCCTTTTTGTCTTTGAATTTGTGATGACCCAAAGAATGTGTACTAAACTGCCCATTGGTCCCCAAGGAGAAGCCCCGTTAGAAAGGATTTGAGATGTTTGGGGAAAGTCATCAACGTCTTTAGTTCAACTCCAAGTGGAAACTAATCAATGAAGTTCTTGAGGTCGCTAAAGTCAACATAGGGGCGTGCAAAGTCTTCCCATAAAACTTTAATGCTTTCGAAGATAATGACACGTTGGGCATAAGAGTGAGAGAAAAGAGATAATAATAATAATAATAACAGTGAAGAGTTTAGGAATCAGGTGCAATAAGAATACCAGATAACCTTAATAAGAGAAACCCCTGTCAAGGGTAAAGGAATAGATAATCATGTTTAAATCTTCTTAGAGATATATAAATAAATAAAATACTCTATTATTATGTCCTTTGGTCTGGCATGGTCTTCATTTCTAAAATAATGTGTCAATCAATTAATGTCATTTCATATAGCATGTTCATTTTTGTCTTTTTGTTTCATGGTCAGCATGTTTGAACTCGTATCTAAAAATTGTTCCTATTCCACCCTAAACAAATTTCTAATTACAGCAAGACTTGAATAATTTGGCCTTATAGTGCTAGGTATTCAGCCAATAACTGCCCAAGCTTTAAAAGAACTAGGCTCCAAATATGGAAGACAATGCGTCCCTTAACCACATTGTCACAAAGAACACTGTGGTAGTTGGAAGCACCCTTGCAAGATTTCTCCTTAGAGTGCAATAAATGCAATATCCTTCCCAAACACCATCAAGCAAGCAAAAAGATTAAACTTTATTCCTAGATTAGGATGCATTTGGTTGGGGACCAAAAAGCATAAATCTGAAAATGAGGGATTTATACAGATACTACACTTGAAACTTAGCCACGAGGACAAAAAAGGCATTGAAAATAAGGGATTTAATGACAGATGGAGTTGTATTCCATGTTTACATTATTTTGAGTAGCAGATTTCGAATCTGACAGTACTAAAAATATGAGAATATTGTTTTCAAAATTTCTACTTTCTAAGTCATAGAATCCATATATTACTTTCAGAAGCAAACCCACCGAACAAAAGTTCACATAGTTCATATGAGTCAATGATTCTGAATCTGAAAATAAAATATTGCATCTTGATAAGATACTAAATAGACCCTTAGCTTTTCAGACAAACAAGAAAGAAATGTAAGTCATCTCAAGTATACCAGGTGATAAAATACGTTCACATAAGTTGAAAGAAAAACTATAAGTTATTCTTTAAAATATTACAAAAGAAAAAGCATGAGTTAAGCATCATAAATATGAACTTTTCACTTCGTTAAGATATCTGCAAAGAGAAACTTATGCAAAAATTTCACCAACATAAAAATTCTAAAGAAAAAGAAACCACAATGATCTTGACATGCCTAGTCTAATGCCAAACAACTTGATCCTGTCTCAAGTACACTCAATACCGGTGAGTTTCTTTCCAAAGAAAAACCCAACTGGTTTCCAATTATACAATTAATACCCAAGAGGACCAAAGTTGCACAATCCTATAATACATTTTCTCTTTGATGACTGCCAGCCAAATAAATCCCATCAACAATTTTGAGACAGTTTTCCAGCACACATTTCCATGAAGAACATTGTTCCACAATCACTTTGTAAATTGCAATTACTATCAAATAATCAACGGATAACACAACACAGCTGCATTTTATCGCTAAACTGAGGGATTATTTATTTTTAAAAAATCATAACAAGGCAAAATTAAAATAAGGACCACCGAAGACCTACAAAAACAGAAGGCTAAGGCCTCCATAGCTTGCAAATATAATCCTAATATACTTGAAAATTAGATAACAACTTAACCATTTCTTTTACCCCAAAAAACAATAAAAAGCATTAATTCTTCCAAATTCCAAAAGCAAAAGAATATAATGAATCTTTAAGGGTTTCATCACAATAAATCTGGTTGCAGCAACTCTACATTCCGACAAAAAAAGTCAGTTCACCTACAAGTTTTTCACCTAGTATGGAGCAGTATGATAATGTCAAATTCGAAAACAGATCAACAGCTTTTCCTAACCACCATTATTTTACCTTAAGAACATATGCACTTAAAGCAACTTAAAGTAGATGTTCTTAAGTTTTATACCGTGTTCAAAGGTTAAATTCTGTGTAGAATCCAAAATTTCACGTTCCGACTTTACCTTGCTCCTTTTATGAATTTTGCGCGTTTTGTATATGTTGCATCTCATAAAACTTACAGTCTTTAATACAAGTACGTGGCCTAAGTTTAAATCCAACAAAAAACTGCCATGAAGAATACAAGGGTAAACTAATTTGGAGTAAAATGGAACAGGCGCACATAATTAAGTGAGTTTGTAATAGATTGAAAGAGGGAGAGAAATACGGACCACAAATTGACCACTAGCTTCTACATGAGTCTTGCCATTTCCTTTGCATTCGCTCCCACAAGTCAACTTAGTCTGCTTCCGCCTCTTGTAAGTTCGAAAACCATCGCTAGTTCCTGGAACCCCTTCAGTTACAACATTCAAAATCCCCATCCCGATTCCATTTTCCCCTGCCTCGCTCTTCACGAACTTGACCTCCAAAGCACGTCCCGTGAAATCCCCATTGCTTTTCCTATTTTCAATAATCATCGGCCCGGCACGAAAAAAAAACCCTAAATTCCGGATAGAATTAGGGTTCCGATGGTCGCATGTGTTACCAGATTCTGAAAATTCCCGTGGAATCCACACTCCCAAGCTTCGAAAACTAATGATAAGAACCGAAAAGCACACTTAGTTCACTAGAAGAAATCAATTCCATTTGACAAGAAGAACACAAAACCAAAAATATTCACACCACTAGCACTATAATTCTCTCTGCAACTTCCCGTTTAGGAAAAACCTCAAGTTCGACATATTCAACAAATAAGCAGCTAATTCTAACTAATCAAGTGGCTCCGAAACAAGATTCTGAACAATGAAACTACAAACTCGAAAACACTACATTGTTCTTCGTTTCTCAGCACGAATTTCTCAGCAAACCAAACAGACAGACAACAAGAAATGAATTTGAAAAAGAATGAACAGAATAAAGATTAACAAGAAAGAGAGAGAGAATCATACTTGATCAAAGGAAATGTGGCGAAGAGAAGATGCAGCTGACAGGGAAACTCCAAATCCAAGAGGCGGGAGAGCAGTAGATGAAGTTTCTTTTGGTTAAACCAGCGGTTCTATCTTGGTCCCCTTTTTTCAAAAAAAAAATCTGAGACTGGCAGCCGTTTTGTGCCGACGAAGCGGTTTATTTTTCAGACCGGACCGGTTACGCGGTTTGGATGTGCGGTTTACTTACCATTAATGTTCACTTCAAAAATAAATAATAAAACTATTAAATATTATTTTTCTCAATTAGTCTTTAAAAATAATTATTAATTTCATTCAATTTTAAAATATTCTTATATTTAAAAAATATATTTCAAATTTTAAAAGTAATAACATTAACATTTACTTATTTATAAAATTACTATGAGGATTCAAACTTTTTAATATTATTTTTTTAATTTTTTAAAAAAATATTTTTTTAAACATGATACTCACGACACAAGTATTTTTTTAATTTTTTAAAAAAATTTAAAAATAAGTATATGAGTGGAATTTTTTAAAATTTAAGGGTATTTTTTAAATATTTTTGAAATTAAAGTGTATTTTTTAAAAATCTTTTAAACGTTTAATAGTATTTTTGAAACAAATTATTAATAATTTCTTTAAAAAAAAGGGTTTTTTTTTTAATTTTTTAAAAGTTTAATGGTATTTTTTTAATTTTTTTAAAAGTTTAAGAGTATTTTTTTTAATTTTTTTAAAAAATTTAATAGTATTATTGAAATTTGTGTTAATTTAATCTTTGTTTAAAATATAAACTTCTAAAATATCTATTTTTGTCCATTTCTAACTCCCTTTTGAGTTGGAAGAAGTTTCATTTAACTTAGACACTTTTCTGCCTCTATCACTGATCTGTGCAGTAACTCTTGGGCAAAAGCCCCTTTCCCGGGAAAAAAGCTCGAGTAAAGCAGTACTGAGGTACGAGCTTCTCCCTCAATTCTTTTTATACCCTTCGTGTCGAGGCAAGGAGTCATTCATACAAGATTTTCTTAGCTTTAGCTTTAAAGAAAGTTCCCTACTAGGCTGTTACACGTGTTCTCTTTAGGGAGAAGTAGCACTCTTGTCGACTCTTCACTTTTGCTTACTATACTTTGACTTTGGGTTACTTTTTGACTCACAATAAAGCCTGACAATTTTCGTAAGAGGGGCTTTTGGTCAAAATCGGCTATTTGGGTAGTTCATATTCTCAACCGAAGTCCAGCTTAGCAGTACATAATAATATACCAGAGTCGGGAAGTTTGGAGTGGAAAAGGACCCGTGGGATATTTTAAAGTTTTTCAGATGTGTGGGTCGTGTGCATAGGGCCAATAACTCTCGAACTAAATTGGATGAATGAAGTGTTATTTGTATTTTTTTTTGGGAGTTGCACACGACTTTGATCATCAAGAAGAAGTTGTCCAATAAGAAGCCGTGGAACAACAACTTCCAAGAAGGCGGTGTATTCGACCTTTGGATGCTAGATTATGTAACAGGTGAAGAGTTATCTGATAGTGAGTGTGAACTATACCTTACTTTCAGTAATGGAGATGATCTTATTCACTATAAAGAAGCAGTAGAGAATCTAGTTTGGAGAAAGTCGTGAAAGAAGGAATTGAAGCTATAGAAAGAAATAGAACATGACAGTTAACCGAGCTTCTAGATGGTGCTAAAAGGATCGGGGTCAAATGGATCTTCAAAACAAAGCATGATGAGAAAGGAGACGTCATCATGATCGGTGATTCGAGGATATACTAAAAAAACATATGGAGTAGATTACAAGGAGGGAGTTTGCTCGTGTAGCTCGCATGGAGACTATCAGATTGGTCATTGTTATAGTTGCTCATCATGGATGGTCCATTTACTCGTAAAATGTCAAATCTGCCTTCTTGCATGGGGAACTAACTGTTGTTGAACAGCCATGAGGATTCGAAAAAAAAAAGGGAAGAAAGAAAAGCTGAATCGTGCGTTATATAGACTAAAACAAGCCCTTCGAGCTCGGTACAATCGCACTAAAAGATATTTTTCGACCTGTTACAAAATCAGAGAATGAACTCACTTTATTCACTAAGGTAAATGAGAAGAAAATTACCGTTGATTTGATTTTTACCGGGAATGATGATGTTCACGAAATCAATGATGTCAGAATTCGCGATACTGACATGAAAAAATAAAAAAAAAATTGTGTTCTTGAATTAACATAGATAGCTGATATTTTGTTGTCAAAATAAGTATGTGATTGATCTTCTGGGCAGTTCAAATTCTGTCCGTAATCCAATGGTTCTAAAAAGTAAATTAGGCAAAGTTGAAGATATAAAAGAAATTGACAAGACGGTATTCATTGGTGAGCTAGTGCACCAGCCACCAACGTTGATGATTCCCTAACTCGTGACACGCTCATGACTTGTGTCATTTTCAATGCTTGTACAACTTGCAATGAGTAACAAATACATGAACGAGCTCCATTCTCTAGCTACTAACACTCGAACGTAGTCATGACCAATGTTTCAAAAAATTTGAGGTGGGATTGAGGCGTTTTGTCTCGGAGATGTGAAGTATAGCTCTAAAATGACAAGCAATGTCTCGTTGTAAATAGAAAAAACTTCGTATTATAAGTTTTTGTATTCTAACATTAAACGTCCATATAAAAACACAAAGCATATGTAAAAACTAACAAGAAAATTTTCTATAACACACTTCGGTTAAATTAGTGCATTCAACTTTTCTTGAGTTAATCTAAAGCTAATCTTATCTCATTCACAATATAATTAGTATCGTTCATAGAGTCGTCATCATATCTATTAGCTCCATCTTGTTCTCGTTTTTTTTTTTTTTTTTTTTTTTTTTTTTTTTTTTTTTTTTTTTTTTTTTTTTTTTTTTTTTTTTTGTCACTTTTAACATCTATGCATTCAACGGCCCAGATCCACGACTTCTCCTTCCTTCGGGGCCAGCGTCCTCGCTGACACTCTTTCCTTCCTCTAATCAATGTGGGACCGCCACCAAATCCACCCTCGTTCGAGGCCAGCGTTTTTACTGGCAGTCTTCGTCCGGTGTCTGGCTCTGATACCATTTGTAACGATCTAGATCCACCGCTAGCATATATTGTCCTTTTTGGGCTTTCCATTTCAGGCTTCCCCTCCTCCCTGTGACATCACACAATTTTCAATTTCATTAGCAAAGACTAAGTTTACCCTGTTTAACGTACCTTCAAGTAGAGGTGGTCATATGACCCAATAATCTGATCAACTCAAACTACGAAGGTTTATTTACGTTAATTTTTTCGATTTAAAATTTTGATTCAGTTTATGGGTTGACATTTCATACGATCAACTCGAAAAAAAAAAATATATGTTACAACCTATCTCTACCATATTTTAAAAAAATTAAGAATATTTAACGTTTGTCACAAATGTCAGTGATGCATTATGATTAATAAATATATGATATTTGAATATTACGAGATTTTAGTTATTAACGTAATATTACAGATAAATATGATTTTTTTAATAATTACGAAAAAAGAACAACTTGATAACCCAACCCGAAATAGAGATTGAGTTGGGCTGTGAACTCTATTCAGGTTGCTCGAGTTGGTCTAAGAAGTAACATAAATTTTTTTATTATTATTAATAAAATGATTTAAAGTAATATTAAAAAAAGAATTAATTAAAAGTAAAAGAACTATAAAATATAGGGTTTAGGGTTTAAGATGTATTAAATAGTTTTAAAAAATTAGACGCCAAATAGATATAAATTCAATTTTCTTTTTCCGAAAATACCCTTTACTATTTATTATATTCCAAAAATGCCCTCGAGTTCAGTGGAGTTTTTAAAATTGCCCTAATACGCCAAAATACAGTGTACTTGGAGGACGTGGACCACATTGGCTACTCATTAATTCCAGTTTGAATAAAAAAAAAAAAATAATAATAAATAAATTATTCTGTTCTTCAGAACAGAAATTGATCGGCATTCAAAAAGTAATCTTTCATCGATCGTCGTCACTCTCTTTCAAACCTTTTCCGTTGAATCGAACGAACGAGGATCTTTCACTGAATTGCAGCACCGACGACGAACTTTCCGATGCATCGCAGCCGGTGCTTGTCGTCCAGAGCCATTTCGGACGCAGAGAGTGAGTCCGATAACAAAATGATGAAGTGCTTGTCGTGTCTGGAGGATTACAGGTCACGCGACGCTGGAACCTGCAAGGAGTGCTACGAGGAAGCTAATGAGACTGAGGAAGAGCTCAAGCGTGAGATCGAAGACTTGAAAGCTAAAGTCGCTTTCCTCAGGTTTTGGTCCCCTCTCGATCATCTTCATAATCGGTCGAATGCTCCTTGCTTTACGGATGTTGTTTTGATCGCCTCCGGCGATGGCGCTGAGGGATATGCCGTGCCACTTCCCGCTCATAAAGCTGTCTTGGTTAGTACGAATTTTATAGTTTACTCGAATATTACACTATTTTGTGGTTTTGTGTTGATTCCTTGAGTATGATTTGGAGTTGTGTAGTATTTAACGTTTACTTTTTCTTAGGAACCAAGAGTAAGATATTTAACTTTCAAATGCACAAGCATTTGAAGTTCTGGAACAAGGTTGCATAATATATTTTTATACATACTGAAGAGAATACTTCTAACACTTGCTTGATTCTAGTTGATTTCTTCTGCTTGTTTATCCTACAATCTATCTGATTGCTAATGAGATTGTGGATTAGCTTAGATGTTGAAGAAATGTATACTTCTTTTGAAATGGGTGGAATTAAAGGGAGTAGACCACTTGGCTGATTGGGCTACAACTTTTATGGCATGGGAGCTAGTGGCCAGAGGCTTTGGATGTGGAAATCTAAGGAGAAAGAACATGCTTGTCACGGGTAAATGCCTTTTGGGATTTTCTAGGAAGCCATTTTTAACATTCCTAGTAAGTAAGGGTTCGATTTTAATAGATTGAGCATTTCAGTGGTGGACACAACTTGCTATTGAAGTTCTCAGGTCTTCAATCAATCCTTTGGTGACCTAAATGTGGATAATGGTGGAAGAATCATGCCTTGGAAAGACACTTGATCGAGGGATCTTGTGGCTGGCTTTTCAAATCTGTTCCAAGT